TACATTTACAATGCTGATAATTTGGTAACTTTTATATGATCGTCATATGATAAATGAAAATCAGTCAAATTATAATAATTAACTGAAATGGATTTGAAACCCATAAGCATAAGCTTTACACACAAAAAAAAAATTGTACCAGTAAAAATATTGAACTTTCAATTTAAAAGTATCAACAAATTCGTTACCCTAACCACAGACAAACAGACATAACACATTGAATATTTCTCACAGCAAAACATCGTCGCTAAAACATTACCGCCATCTGTTGAGTACACTGTGGTGGGTAGTACGCTGAACAGATGGCGGTAGTGTGTAAACGTCAAACGCAAGCGAATTGACTATGCGCGCCACAGGTGGCGGTACTACCAACTACGATACGTTTAAATTGTCCGTTAAATGCTTGTTCGATGAACAACTTGCGAGAGTTATGTCTGTTTGTCTGTGCCCTAACTACGAAGATATTTAATTTAATAATGTTATTTTCAATTCAAAAACGAATGTTTTGATCTTATCTTGTAGTTTTAAAAGCTCAAATTTTCAAATCGAAAATTGTTTTACTGTCAAATTTACTTCTTCATGGGTAGATTTCTACCTTTTTATGGGTTATTCTACGGTAGCGTGAGTATATAAAAACAAAACGCGCTAAACATTAGTTGGAACATTTTACCAGCCACCAGCCTGTGCATCGACCCATGCAACAGTTGAGTATTGAAATTATTCCCTGTCTCGATCAAGAATAAGATATTTAATCTTTCAGTAGATCCATTAGTCGTCCATTAGAACGTGAAAACCTACCTGTAACTAGAGTCGGTGTATAATGAGTCACGCCAAGAGAAAAACAGTTGAACTCGCATCACGGTTTCCGAAGGATTCCCTTTCTTATCACTTGGCAACAGAGGACTTCTACATCAACTTTAAATGACTTCTAGCGAGAACCAAAAACAACGGCTGTAGTGAATCATAATATCAGTGATTTTGTCAAATTATCTTATCAAAAAATAGTAGAAATTCTCATTACTGATCAAAACCAAACGTATCCCATGACCATTTAATGCTCGCTGCGTGTTTATGATGATTTCTTCAATTTTATTTTATATTTCATTGCAATACCTTTCGTAGACCATTCATAGCATCGTAATGTTTATTTACTTTGCACGATAGGTAGCCGATTTGACAGTTCAATAGGTAGACTTGGCTTCACTCTTGGCGTGACTCATTATACACCGACTCTACCTGTAACTACCTGAAGGACGTCTATACGGCTCTAGAAACGAGCAGCTCGCCAATGCCGGTAGTGAAATCGAACACGAGCACAAGAAACTCTCGAACAGACGCAAACCTCGCAAATGTCCGACAAAGATTCCAGTAAGTGACATTAAATTTCCCCCTGCTTGGACAAAATTATTTCAGATTATACCCCTTACTTTTACACTCTCATTAATTTCTATATACCATTCTAGATTAGATCCACGACGCTTCGCTGGCTGCTTCCCACATAGAACATGTCCTCTGCGAAGCCAGAGGTTCATTGAGTTCGTTGCTCCGTACTGGACCACAACAGACATGGATGATGCAGTGCAAAATCTGACTGCTGCTATACGACGTCTATCTAACCATACAAAAATCTAATAATTATCATGTAAACTATAAAAATATTCAATATTAAAACATAAATTTATTTTTGGAATTTGAAATTGAAGTACAAAAATAGGAATTTTATAATTAATAGATTTTTAAATGAAAAATTTGATTGTTATGATTGAAAATGCTGGTATTCATACTGAAAATATTGATTTTTTAAATCGAAATGGTACATATTATTGTAACAGTAAGGAACTTTCATGTTAATAGTTTGTTTTGGTTAAAAAATAATCCACTTTTAATTTCAACACTGTGATGCTTTTGAATTGACAGTAGTACAATTCATTTTGAAAGTTCAAACTTTTAAAAGTAGTGAGTGGACCTCGGAGTGGACTACTTTTGATTTGACAGTTGGCTAACTTTTATTTTGAAAGCTAACCGCTTTCTACCAAAAAGAACCAACGCAAACTTTTAATTCTACCAACGATTTTTTTAATTTCAACAACGATAATTTTTAGTGTGTACGTTTCACCACAATATAATATATGTGTCATAAATCAATCGAAGTAAAGTTTATGTGAAAATCACATGAAATTTACTTCTTCTTTTGACACATATATTTAATCGATTTCTAAAAATAAATCGAAAAATAAACATCAGGCAGTGGGAGCTTTCACAGTTGTGTCTTTTTTTATTGTAGCTGATTTGGGATTCGATCAAGAACTGTTGAGGTGTGATGCTTTCGAGGATGCTTTCGGTTTCTGCGCTCGATTCCACTGGGATGTAACCCTCGTCTAGGGTGACAATTTATAACCCACCCTTTTAACGTGTTTGCCATGAGCGTGTGCCTTGTCTGTTATGATTTGTTTTTGTTTTGGTCGCACGCTCGGCAACATACTCACCACTGATTTATTTGTAAATATTTTAATTTGTTATTTTCATCTTAGATTTTATTCGTGTAGGCATATTTTTAGGATTAGAATATAGTGTAAAAATTATCGTTTAAAATTGTCTCGCGTGTAGAATGAAGTTAGGTCCCGTTTCTCCTCCCGCTGCAAAAGAAGGCGAAAAACATAACCAGCACAACATTCGAGCGCGGTTGCAGGAGAACGATGGCGGTTGTTGTATTGTCGGTGATTGTCAAGTAGTACAAAGAAAAAGAAAGTTACGAGCGACGGTTGGAAGTCGACGCGGTTTTTGCCCGGTCCGTTTCAGGAAAAACGAAAAGTTGGAGTGCCGTTTTCGTGGCGTGTGTCCGCTGGAGGGATAATTCCCAGCACCGTCGCGTGGAAGTGACGTCGTTTCCCCGAAAAGTGCCGTGGTTCGTGAGCTTCAGTGAAGGGTGTCGGATCGCCGCCAAGGGAAGCTAAATTTCGAGGATTTTTCCGCTTCCCGGCTAAACCCCAAGGATCCCCGAACACCCACCGTCCTCACTGCGGTGGCTCAGCCAGTAGAGCCAGTCTCGCCACCGCAGTTAAGAGCCAAGGAGGGACGAAGCAGGCAGAACCGAAGGAGCGTTCGCCTGGGTAGTGCACTGCGGTGACTACCGGGACCATCTACGGCGAGTAGTTGGTCCGGTGATTCGTCACCATCGTCGCCGAGGGGGTTCCGATAAAGGAGCCTTGCTCATCCCCCCCGCTAAACGCCAAGGACCGCTGCTACGCAGCTAAAGTGAAGGAGAAAACGCTCGGCACAGACCGTGTCTGGAGCCAACGTAAAGCAGTACGATCTGCAACCGCCGCCGCTATCGTCGAAGGGCCCCACCGAGTGACACCGAGGATAACGAGGAGAAAAGGGAAAGGTTAGAGGATAATAGACGTCTTAAATTGTACTTTTCTTTCTCTTTTCTTAACAATCCATCCAAATCCGAACGTCTTTGGGGGAAGTACTCTGCTCGTAGCCGCCCCGCCGGGGTAAATCGGGCCAGCTATAGGCTGGCAAGTAAGCCGCAACTTACAGGGACACGACTGACTTCAAGAGTGAGCTCGTTCAATTAGCATGCATGCATGTAAGAATGAAGTAATGAAGTAAGAACAGCTCTCCCGACATGGAATGTAGTGCAACTTTATGCTCGTTTTGCTAGAGTGAAGACAAATAGCACTGACAAATTTATGTTCCGTTTCGGTGGTGTCAATAATTTATGAAGAGCAATCATGTAAGATGTATTTTATTTTGAGCGATATTCATCCCAGAAAGACATGCCAAAACAAATGTTTGCTGTTGGACTTCTTAAAAGGCAAATCTATATGACTATATAATGATTGGGATAAATCTGTTTACAATCTTTAAACCTCAAAAATCAAAGGAAGCTACACAGAAAAAAAAGTTGTTGAATATTACATCCAAACTGCTGCAACCAGGTCAATCCATCGGTTGTGTAATATAACGTTGTACGATGTACATCGATTTTGCGAACAAAATTACATCCATTGATGTAATATTGTATCTGATTTTTGCTATTACATCATTATTTCATACATCAGCTTGAATTACATTGATTGATATTACATTTTTTTTTGCTGTGTATTCCAATGAGATATGAGATATACATGTTTTCCCTGATAAAAATAACCATAAAATAGAGCTTAACGACGTGTTCGGGGTATCATCCAAACCGTTTGTGGGATAGTTTACCCATCCGGTATAAAGTTCGTTTATGGTATTTATTTATTAGGGTTCCTATACTGCAAAGTTAAATGACAGTCCAATAGTTTCTACATGTCTGTTTACACGCGACATATCAACAAACGTCAAAAATCGTTAAAAGCAACTTCAATAAAATATACATGATTATCTTATAAGATATATCTTTTAGTGAGCAATATTCATCATGAAACCAGGTATATTGTACTGAATTTTCTCATAATGCAAACTTATATGATTTTCCATTAGTTTCTAGATGTCTGTAAAGAGCCTGGATATAAATTCAGGCTCTTTAGATGTCTGTTCCCACATATATCAACATGACATATCAACAATTTTTCACCATGAAATATATCAGACAATATTCATATACTTTTTACCTATCGCTAACCACGTTCGAAGAAAAGTATTATCAAGTACAAAGTATGTGAAATTACGATAGAAATTATTTCATATCGCAGTCATAGTTTTAAAGTGATAATACAATGAAATCTATCAATCATCACATAGAATGAATAAATCTGCTGACATTGCTATGTTATAAGATGGATCTAGTAAACGGTACATGTCGATTTGTTTCAGTGATAGTGTGCGCCGATTAAACGTCAAAAAGGTCTACATACCGAGGTTAAGCAATCGTAAAACCCCTGTATATATGTATATACGATACAAGCAATTAGTGACGTCACTACTTGCGTTAAGGTTGATTTTTTTGGTTTACTAATATACAACAATATTTCACGATCTGCTTCACCTCTCTCAGTACTCATTGAGCTAACTGTTCAATTTAAAACATACAACTGAAAAAAAATGAATTTGCAGTCCGGAGGTGCAGGTACAGCTAAAGGAAAGTTAAGAAAAATATTAATATACTATATTATTCTACACTTCTTCACCATCAGGTAACGCAGACGGTATGGATTCCAGTTTGGAAAATTTCGACGAGGATGCTGTTAACGAAAGTATGCTGGATGTGATCAACCGGGTGCAAACATTGCTGAACCCGTTGGCAGCTCCATTCTCACCTGAGTTTTCTCCCGGATCGTCAACAGCGGAAGCTTCAACTTCATACGTTCCCAGATTCAATGCAGTTGGTTCGGAATCGACCAGTGCCCTCAGCCGTCTTGACAGTGATAGTGTCGTACCGGATGCAACCTCGAACGTCGAAGAACTACTGATGGAAAGTCGACGGTACAGAGCAGATGCTGCCCCCGAGGTAGAGTCCATCATTCCCGATGATATTTGGAACGATCTGGACGTCAATCTGGCTCCATCACCTCCGCGAAAGCGAACGGACGACCCACAACCCGTCCCCGTTACGTGTCCAATATGCTTTGAATCCGTATTCGATCAGCAGGCGGCTTCTACCATTTGTGGACATCTGTTTTGCCATTCGTGCATTATTCAGGAAGTTGTAATCCGTCCAAAATGTCCGATGTGTAAACGGACGGTCAACCTTTCGCAAGTTATTCCTATTTTCATTAACTGAAATACTCGCCGTTATTGCTCGTAGACCAGGTAGGTAGCTACTGTTGTATCATGATTATGTCACCGACAGATAGAAAGTCGTGATTTCCAAATAGAATGTTGATTTTTAAATAGTTCAATCGTTTGTTTAGTCAGTTGCAGTTGAAACAACATTTGAATGAAAATTAGAGTTATGTGTGGGTAATACGCGCCACGGGGAAATATGACCAACAGCGTTGATTTATGTCTTAAAAAAACTATATGGATAATTAGGTCAGACCCCGATTAGCTGAACGCCATTATACTAAACGCTATTCGACCGGACGGATCACTAAGTAAATCATCATTCATTCGAAACAGAATTTTCCCAAGCAGAAAGTGAGGAATAAATCTTAAAAATGTGATACTCTGTTTTTGTTTTAATAACTAGTTGATTTTATTTTGATCGAGCTAACGGCTAAAAAAAACACAGTAAATTTCCATTAGAATTTTGATTTCGTTTTCGAATAGCAGCATAAGTAGGTCCATTTACTCGCTAAACATTATATAGGTATAGACAGGTATAGATGAAGAATTTAAAGTAGGGGTGATGTTTGTACCTACGGGTACGAATGTAGTATTTGTTCTTCGCTAACCGTTGTTAACAGCAGAGGAATTTGTACCTGGTCGGAAACGTGGACCGTTTCTTACATGTCGCTTAGAACGAGATTTTAGGATCGCTTGGCGAGTCTTATATTCCCAAAAATTGTATTTGTGGTTTTCAACACAATTTGAACATTAAAATTTCTTAGGATCTTCCTTCACAGTCGTCCTTTGCGTGAGAGAAATTACCACAATTCATGCATTTAGCTGGTATGTAACAATTTGATGTTCCATGACCCCATCCCAGTTTTTGGAAATATCCTTCAGTCTTCCTGAAATGTTCTCACTTCACTCGGACATGGAGCAAAAGGATAGCTTTGTATAAGGTCTTATGGTTGTTTAGTTGAAGACTTGAAGTGAATTAAATAAAAATCATTAGAAAGCACATCGCGCGAATCGCCAGGACGGAATTTCATTTTCATTTTGATTACTTGGATTGGTTCAACTCGAAGTAATCTTATCGATTGTACGACTTTTCCCCGAAAACCAGTTCCTCGAAAACACTTTCCTCGAAAGTTTTATCCCCGAAATACGATTCCCCGAATGAACCAGTTCCCCGAAAGGAACGTTTTCCCGAAAACTATTTCCCCGAAAAAACTAGTTCCCCGAAAGATACAATTCACACTGTGCGATCTATTTAAATATGAACCTTGGGTTTGTTACAACTTATCTATATGAAATTGAGAAAAATATCTTTGCTGAATATTGATAAACAGAACAAAGTCGTTCAACACCCTAGATAAAGTTTGTGGTTATGACTTGTTATGACATTTGGCGGTTTATCAAATTGATATCTGATTGTAATGAGCATAAAGACTGAGCTTTGATATAAAAAAGGGAAAATTGTGTCAGTTTCATCAAATCTTTCGCTGGTTAACTACTTGTATCGAACAATACCACAATACATGTGCACATATCAATGTGTGTCGAATTAAAGTGGACTCTACACGACTGTTTGTATTGACAATAATCGTATTGTCAATGCGTTTTATATTGACGTCAATACATCGGTATTGACAATATATCTGTATTCACATCATCAATATTATTGTCAATACTTTTAAGTATTTACAATATTTCTTACCGTGTGGTGATTTTTCACAGATTTCCTGTAATTTTTACCGAATATTCTGAAATCGGTGTATGGTGTTTTCTTCTTGCTCCATACAATTTTGGATTCGGCCTATAAGGAGTCGCAAAGTGACTATAGCATGTATTGCATGGGGACGCATGGTGTCTTTTATTTATTAGTATGGAGTTTTTTAACGTTCGTACCTATCCAACACACACACACATACATTGTATGCAATTAGCTCCATGGAACATACCAAGTTATACGTCAAATAATCAGCTAAGATAAAAAGAAGGAAACATTCTTGCACCAATTCAATTTTATTACAATGAGATATCGCTTTGATAAATTAGTAAGATATTTATTCTTCAAAACGTTAAAGAACGAGCTGTGATACAAAGAAGGGAAAATTTTGCTTGTCGCAAGAAATTTTTTCTTCTTTGAATCATAGTTCATTCTTTGACGTATAATATGGTATGATCCATGGAGCTAATTGCATACAATGTGTGTGTTTGTTTGATAGGTACGACCGTTAAAAAAAACTCCATACAAACAAAGAAAAGATATCATGCGTCCCCATGCCATACATATTAGTCACATGGCGACTCCTTATAGGGTGAATCTAAAATTGTATGGAGCACGAAGAAATCAATATGTGTTGACTAAAGACGAAAGTTTGACTTTCGTTAAAACTACATGGAAAGGTCAAAAGCTGCTGAAATAGGATTACACCGATTTCAGGAGCTTGACCTTTACATTTTGTTTTAACGAAAGTCAAACTATTGTCTTTATTCGACGCACATAATATGTTTATTGTGGTATTGTTCGATACAAGTAGTTAACCAGCGAAGATGCGCAGATTCGGGGAAATGGTACATTCGGGGAAATTATTTTCTGGGAACTGTGCCATTCGGGGAATTGTATTTCGGGGAAAAGTTACATTCGGGGCAATAACTTTCGGGGAAAGTGTTTTCGGGGGACTGGTTTTCGGGGAAAAGTCGTTTAATCAATTTTATCAATTCATCTTTGATCTGATCCAGGGATCACCACTGGGCAGACCTTTAAGACAACTTTGAACAGACGTTCTGTTTGGTGTCGTAAGGGCCTGTTCATAAACTACATAGACAGTTTTTTTGGGATTCTTAACCCCCCCTCCCCCTGCGTAGACAATTATCCATACAAAAAATTTAAAATTTGTATGGGCCGTGGATAATTGTCACCCCCCCCCCCCCCCCCCTAAACTGTCTACGTAGTTTATGGATAGCCCCTAAGTGAAAAATTTGTGCTGCTTATCAGTAAAATACTTGAGAAGACGTTTGAATCCGTCCAAGGTTTCAGGCAATACTACCATAGAGGTAACTCTAAGACCACTGGGTCCCGAAGAAAATCATTATTATTTTTGGCTCACTCAGTACCAGAACAACGGTCCCAAGCAGTCCCAAGCTATTTCACTCACCCCTGCATGTTCTGCATGAATCCACACACCCTCAGGGGTGTTATCTGTCAAACTTTCATAGCGAATCAAAACAAACATAGTGTAGTAATAGAATTTCAACTAGAATAGGGTACGTTAATCGTTTGCTTGGGACCAATAGGCTACTAAAGTGGTGAGCCAATTTAAAATCGTTAGTTTCGTATTGATTGTTGATACTACCATAGAGGTAACTCTAAAACTAGAAGGTCCCGAAGAAACGTGTTCAACTTTTTGGCTCAGCTCTGGTACCATAGAGGTAACTCTAAGACCAGAAGGTCGCGAAGAAACGTGATCAATTTTTTGGCTCAGCTCTGGTACTCTCTTCGGTCCCAAGCTAATCGATTCACCCCTCGAAACATAGGAAAATCCAATAACCCCTCATTTTATCTGTCAAACTTTCATAGCGAATAGAAACAAACATAGTGTAGTACTAGAATTTCGACTAGAATGGGGTACGTTAATCGTTTGCTTGGGACCAATAGGCTAGTCAAGTAGTAAGCCAATTTAAAATCGTTAGCTTCGTATTGATTGTTGATACTACCATAGAGGTAACTCTAAGACCACTGGGTCCCGAAGAAAATCATTATTATTTTTGGCTCACTCAGTACCAGAACAACGGTCCCAAGCAGTCCCAAGCTATTTCACTCATCCCTGCGTGTTCTGCATGAATCCACACACCCCTGATGTTATCTGTCAAACTTTCATAGCGAATCAAAACAAACATAGTGTAGTAATAGAATTTCAACTAGAATAGGGTACGTTAATCGTTTGCTTGGGACCAATAGGCTACTAAAGTGGTGAGCCAATTTAAAATCGTTAGTTTCGTATTGATTGTTGATACTACCAACAATCAATATGAAACTAAATATTTTAAACTGGCTCACTACACTGAACGAATTTGACATATTCCTGTTATGTGGAAGTCTAATAAATTTGCGCTATAAGATAATCCATTGAAAATGATATGATTGAAAATGTGTCAGGTAAATTCTATATGAATATCTGATACATTTACAATGCTGATAATTTGGTAACTTTTATATGACCGTCATATGATAAATAAAAATCGATTAAATTATAATAATTAACTGAAATGGATTTGAAACCCATAAGCATAAGCTATACTTTTCACCACAATATAATATATGTGTCATAAATCAATCGAAGTAAAGTTTATGTGAAAATAACATGAAATTTACTTCTTCTTTTGACACATATATTTAATCGATTTCTAAAAATAAATTCGAAAAATAAACATCAGGCAGTGGGAGCTTTCACAGTTGTGCCTTTTTTTATTGTAGCTGATTTGGGATTCGATCAAGATCTGTTGAGGTGTGATGCTTTCGGTGTCTGTGTTCGATTCCACTGGGCCACGGCTGACTTCAAGATTGAGCTCGTTCAAATAGCATGAAGTAAGAACAGCTCTCCCGACATGGAATGTAGTGCAACTTTATGCTCGTTTTGCTAGAGTGAAGACAAATAGCACTGACAAATTTATGTTCCGTTTCGGTGGTGTGGTTTGTTCAAATCTTTCTTAATGCACCTGTGTGCAATAAATCAACGACTAAATTATATGATTTGATAGAACTGGCTCATGAAGTTCGAGTACTACTTAGGGCTGGAATCTGAATTAGCCGTGTAGAAGGCTTACAATTAGAATCATAGCAAAGTAAATATTACAGTAGAATCATTTTTTTTTTTTCAATCTCAATACATTCTTTTGTGGAACCAATTATCATATGAATGACTGCACGTTAACATCGTTGAAAATTGTTTCAATAATTTATAAAGAACAATCATGTAAGATGTATTTTATTGGGAGCGATATTCATCCCAGAAAAACATGCAAAAACAAATGCTTGCTGTTGGATTTCTTAAAAGGCATTTCTATATGACTATTTAATGATTGGGATAGATCTGTTTACAATCTTTAAACGTCAAAAATCAAAGCAAGCTATTACAATGAGATATACATGTTTTCCTATACTGAAAAGTTAAATGACAGTCCAATAGTTTCTACATGTCTATTTACACGCGACATATCAACAAACGTCAAAAATCAGTAAAAGCAACTCCAATAAAATATACATGATTATCTTATAAGATATATATTTTAGTGAGCAATA